TTAATTGGAGGCAAAATAACCAAAGCAGCATTGCAGGTTCATGACATAAGTGCTTTTGTATGAGCATGGTGATGTTGCACTCCCATACAAAAAGTATGGAGCCTTCAGCACAATGCTGCAGTGTTGCTTTCCTTATTCTGATAAAAACAGAAAGCTCCTCTGGATGCCGCTATATCAAAAACTTCTTGGCTCCAACAGAGATCATGATGGCATAGCATTTTTAGCTTTTCCTAAACTTATATTGTGATCAAAATATCCATAAAATGAATATTTTTCTGCTAATTCCCATACAAAATGCCTTATCCTTATGAGTTTACATCAATCTTAAAATGGCTTGATTAGAATTATAATTATAGTGATTTAATTGCACTTGACTTGTCATGTTAATTATATATATTAGATGAGTTATTTGTTTTGATCACAAATCATTAGTGCTTGTTTTTTTTTGTTTTGTTTTGTTTTTTGGTATGAATATCAGATACACTCCCACAATATTAATCTCTGTTTACATTCAAAGGAGCACCATGCAATAACTCCTCTTTTTATGTAAATTGCTTGAACAATCAGGAATTGTCCAAACGTAGAAGGAAAGCATTTTGCTGCATTTGCTGGTGGAACATTCATTTTAAATTATATACTTGTCCTTGTTTTACTACCATGGAATACACTTCTATCTACTTCCACACCTTACCAGAAATCTATCGGGGGGGGAAATCACCACTAAAACCTGTAACCCAATGACTACATTATGTTGCATTTAACTTGTGGTAGTAAAATAGTAACCCAGTGCATTAACTGTGTTTTATCATGACCTGCTTCTAATTAACCTAGAACCTGAGAACTTAATGGTAGAGAATCTGTTTAATCATGGCTGTCATTCTAAGGTTAACTTTCCTGAATGGACTTTGTGCTAGAAAGATTGTCTCTTGTTAGTGTTATGGTATGTTTTTAATAGCAACCTTGAGGCCTTTGAACACGAAACCAGAAATATTTTATTCTGTGAACAGAAATATAGGACATTGAGAACATAATCTTTTGTATATCTAATCAGAATGAAACCTTGTTTAGTTCAGACTTCCTTCCCAGTAAGTGTCCATGGCTGTAATTGCCGAAGGCTGGAAAACATGGGCATCTGTTCCTAACCACAATGACACCAGCATCAAAAATATGGGTCATGATGTCACAGTGCAAACTCCACTTGTATCACAATATTGTACACAAGTGTATATGGGTCTGAGTTTGCATCCTGACATCACAACCCACATTTTGTCACTTGTAACCTTTGCTGTCCATAAGGATGTCTGTGTTATAATCCAGTATTATTATTATGATGGTTGGTCACACAGCCAGTTGTTTAGACAGGATTTGGCATTTTTATCCACCTATCAGCTCCTTCCCAAGGACCTGGGATAGGCAGATGTTGTTTGGTTTGATGGTGTTAAAGGTATCATCACAGGATATAAGCTGCTCCAAGTAAAGCTGCCTTTTGCAATTGACTGGTGGTGATTTTGTCAGTGCCGATGGTCTTCAAATGGTGTGTGTTCCAGATGTTTTGGGATTGCACCCAAGGTG